TGTCTGAGCTGCCCCATAGCTAGGGATCATAAGCTCTGAGTGGACAGAAGTAGAACAGGAGACCTGTGTTCTCAAGGTGGCTCTCCTGTTCACCTGCAATGCCTTCTGATCCGCTGGGGTCCATGTCTGTGTGCTGTGCCCAGATAACTTGGGTTTAAAATAATGCTGTCAGACTTCAGGTGTTAGAACGTTGCCTATAGTAGGACCATTTGTGTAGAATATATAAATAAAAATTAAAACTTAAAAAAAAGAGTCCCTGACTTAATGTGAGTGATGTAGAAATCAAGAGACACCGTTGTGCTCTGCAAAGAGTTGATAATTATTAACTTTCATAAGCAGATTTTTAGGTTGTCCTAGTATAGCCAATAGCTGCTAAGAGGAAATTATAACAAATTTAGAGAATGCGTTATATTTTACTGTATTAATAATGTCTTTCTATTCTTTCATTTAATCACTTAAATGGCACTAAATTATTTAGAAGATACACTTGGTACCAACTATAAAACAGTATTTGTAGAGTGAATCTTCTCCAGCTGATCTATTATGTACCTTTTGAAACAAGTGAATTACCAATCAAGGAAACTTTTTTTCTTAGTAAATATCAGATAGATGTGCTAAGGAAAGATCAGTGTGATCCATTGATGCTGTGAGGTGTGTTTCCTGTCTTTGACTACAACCTCAGGAGCTATCACAATTACAGATCCAAAGTCAGCCAGTAAAGCCAGTGCTTACTTGATATGTCTAGCTAACTTTCACCGTAGAAAGGAAAAGAGAAAACAGCAGTGTTGAATTGCACATGGGCAGGAGTATTAAATATATATAGAGTGAGAATGACTTTCTATTAATAAATTATGAGAGATGCATTTGGTCTGCATGTTTTCAATAAGCCAGATTGACTTTTCCTGCCTTCATCCTGTATTCACAGAGTATGACTTAAAAAATTATCGAGCATACCATTTCTCTTTCTGTGGTGTTTTTAATTTCATAGTCTAAAGATTCTCCCTTTCCAAAAAAATAAATAAATAAAAAATGAATTATATTTTTATGTTGGAGCTCTCAAAACAGAGAGTAATACAGATTTTAAAGAGAACATTGGCTGTCAGTAATATAGTACTGTGAATAATTCTACTGTGGCTAAGCTTCATAAGCACTAAAAAATTTATAAGGTGAAAAAAGTGCTTACCTGTGTCACCTTGGCACATTGAGATACCTGTAAAAAACCCATTGCCATCGAGTTAATTCCGACTCATAGCAACCCTGTAGGACAGAGTAGAACTGCCCCATAGGGTTTCCAAGGAGCAGCTGGTGGATTTGAACTCTGACCTTCGGTTAGCAGCTGAACTCTTCTGTTTAATTTTTTAAAATTTTATTGTTGTACTTTAAGTGGAAGTTTAAAATTCAAGTTAGTCTCTCATACGAAAATTTATACATTTATTGTTATGTAATCCTAATTGCTCTCTATACTGTGACAGCACACTTGTCCTTTCCACCCCTGATTTCCTGCGTCCATTCAGCCAGCTTTTGACTCTGTCTGCCTTCTCATCTCCCCTCTGGACAGGAGCTGCCCATTTAGTCTCATGTATCTACTTGAGCTAAGAAGCACACTCTTCATTAGTATCCTTTTATGTCCCATAGTCCAGTCTAATCTTCGTCTGAAGAGTTGGCCTCGGGAATGGTTTCAGTTCTGAGTAGACAGAGTCTGGGGGCCATGCTTTCTGGGCTCCTCCAGTCTCAGACCATTAAGTATGGTCTTCTTACTAGAATTTGAGTTCTGCACCCCAGTTTTCTCCTGCTCCATTAGGGACTCTCTGTTGTGTTCCCTGTCAGGACAGTCATTGGTGGTAGCCGGGCACCATCTAGTTCTTCGGGTCTCAGGCTTATGAAGTCTCTGGTTTATGTTGGCCCTTTCTGTCTCTTGGGCTACTACTTTCCTTGTGTCTTTGGTGTTCTTCATTCTCCTTTACTCCAGGTGGTTGGGACCAATAGATGCATCATAGATGGCCGCTTGCAAGCTTTTAAGATCCCAGATGCCACTCACCAAAGTAGGATGCAGAACATTTTCTCAACTTTGTTATGCCAGATGACCTAGATGTCCCCTGAAAGCGTGGTCCCCAGACCCCTGCCCCTGGCAGCTGAACTGTTAACCATTGCACCACCAGGGCTCCTGCTGAGCTACAGTAGGTTTAATTTTGCATGAACAAAATGTTTAGTGATGGACCTGTTGAGATTAAGAGTACAGGGTAGGGAAGCTTCATAAGACTAAGCATATTACTGCACCGACAGCAATGTGATTCTAAAGCTAGTAAGATCAAGGCTCCAGAATAAATATTTTCTATAGAGTCCCTGGGTAGTACAAACGGTTAATGCACTTGGCTGCTGACTGAAAGATTGGACATTCAAGTCCAGCCAGGGGTTCGTTGGAAGAAAGACCTGAGATCTACTTTTGAAAAATCAGTCATTGAAAACCCTGTGGAACACAGTTCTGCTCTGACAAACATGGGGCTGGCATAAGTTGGAATTGATTCAATAGCATCTGGTTTTGGATTATTGCCATAATCAACTGAATTTACTCATAGCGATCCTCTAGGACAGAGTAGAACTGTTCTGTAGGGTTTCCAAGGCTTTGATCTTTACGGAAGCAGACTGTCATTTTTCTCCCATGGAGCGGCTGGTGGGTTCTAACTGCTGACCTTTTGGTTAGCAGCTAAGTGCTTTACTGCTGCACCACCAGGGCTCCTTAATCGAATTTACAGTTATAATTTTTCTTGCTTGTTCTTCCCACCTCTTTAAAAGGAAGCTATAAATAAAACTAATTTCGAAATGATATTGATAATATAATAAATGGATTTATCTGATTTCCAAACTTCTAAATCCACAGTAGTATGAGATGCAGCTTACATCATGAAACTCTAATTTTATGTTTTGCTTTTAGGGATTTAAACATGTAGAATTATCAAATTACAAGAAGATCAGTTTTTATAACTGGCTTTTACTTTATCTTTGTAAGCATGGACTTGCAAAGAAAATGTCCTTATTGGTCTGATTTTGTGGGTGTTGTATATACTTGATTGCTTAGCTAAAATCAGCGTTAGAGCCATTTGTTTTGTTTTTAACAAAAACAGTTTTTAAGGTATATATATATATATATTTTTATTGTACTTTACGCGAAGGTTTACAGAACAGACTAGCTTCTCATTAAACAGGTAGTACACATATTATTTTGTGACATCGGTTATCAACCCCACAACATGTCAACACTCTCCCCTTGTTGGCCTTGGTTTCCCTGTTACCAGCTTTCCTATCTCCTCCTGCCTTCTAGTCCTTGCCTCTGGGCTGGTGTGGCCCTTTAGTCTCATTTTGTTTTATGGGCGTGTCTAATATTTGGCTGAAGGGTGAACCTCAGGAGTCACTTCATTACTGAGCTAAAGGGTATCCGGGGGGGCCATACTCTCGAGGTTTCTCCAGTCTCTCTCAGGCCAGTAAGTGTGCTCTTTTTTTGTTAGAATATTGTTCTACATTTTTCTCCATCTCTGTCCAGGACCCTCTATTGTGATCCCTGTCAGAGCAGTCAGTGGTGGTAGCCGGGCACCATCTAATTGTACTGGACTCAGTCGGCTGGAGGCTGTGGTAGTTGTGGTTTGTTAGTCCTTTGGACTAATCTTTCCCTTATGTCTTTAGTTTTCTTCATTCTCCCTTGCTCCTGATGGGGTGAGACCAGTGAAGTATCTTAGATGGCCGCTCACAAGCTTTTAAGACCCCAGATGCTACTCACCAAAGTAGAATGTAGAACATTTTCTTTATAAACTGTGTTATGCCAGTTGAGCTAGATGTTCCCCAAGACCATGGTTCCCACAGACCCCAGCCCAGCAGTTCAGTCCCTCAGGGAGTTTGGATGTGTCTATGGCGCTTCCATGACTTTGCCTTGTACAAGTTGTGCTGGCTTCCCCAGTATTGTGTACTGTCTTAACCTTCACCAAAGTTACCACTTATCTATTGTCGATTTAGTGTTTTTCCATCCCCATCCCTCCCCTCCCTTGTTACCATCAAAGATTGTTTCTTTTGTGTGTATACCTTTTCATGAGTTTTTATAGTAGTGGTCTCATACAATATTTGTCCTTCTGTGAATGACTTATTTCACTCAGTGTAATGCCCTCCAGATTGATCCACGTTGTGAGATGCTTCACAGATTCATCATTGTTCTTTATTGTTGCGTAGTACTCTGTTGTGTGTATGTACCATAGTTTGTTTATCCATTCATCTGTTGATGGGCATCTAGGTTGTTTCCATCTTTTTGCTATTGTGAACAGTGCTACAGTGAACATGGGTGTGCATATGTCTATTCATGTGACAGCTCTTATTTCTCTAGGGTCTGTTCTTAGGAATGGGATTGCTGGATCATATGATATTTCTATTTCTGGCTTTCTAAGGAAGTGCCATATTGTTTTCCAAAATGGTTGTACCATTTTGCATTCCCACCAGCAGTGCATAAGAGTTCCAATCTCTCTCCAACATTTGTTATTTCCAGTTTTTTTGATTCATGCCAGTAATGCTGGGGTGAGATGGTATCTCATTGTAGTTTTGATTTGCGTTTCTCTAATGGCTAGTGATGGTGAGCATTTCCTCATGTGTCTGTTAGCCACTTGAATGTCTTCTTTGGTGAAGTGTCTGTTAATTTCTTTTGCCCATTTTTTAATAGGATTATTTGTCTTTTTGTTGTAGAGGTGTTGGATTGTCCTGTAGATTTTAAAGGTTAGACTTTTGTCAGATTTGTAATAGCCAAAAATTTTTTCCCAGTCTGTAGGTTCTCTTTTTACTCTTTTGATGAAATCTTTTGATGAACATTAAGAGTTTAATTAAGGTATTTCCTTTTTTTATTTTTTATTTTATTGTGCTTTAGGTGAAAGCAGAATAATTTCTCATACAAAAATTTATACACGTATTGTTACGTGACTGTAGTAGCAATCCCTGTAATGTGACAGCACACTCCCCATTTCCACCCCAAAAATAGAGAACTCTTCATGAGTTTGTGTGTCATCCTTGCACAGGGCCATGCTAATCTTCTCTGTATTCTTCTGATTTTACTATATGTGCTGCCGAAGTGAGCACTAAGGTATATTCTTAAGGGATGCATTATATAATTTCTGGGTGAAGTTAACCAGGTCTACTAAAAGGGTTAGTAAATGAGTTAGAGAAATACAGCTGTTCGGATATATATGGTATAATGTGATATTAGTAAATAATGAAATTGTATGATCTCTACACCATAGATATTGAATGTATTTAGAATTTAGAAAAGTTTGTATCTGTTAATTTGTTCTTAATTAACTAAATGTTATATTCAGCTTCTAAGGAAAACTTCTCTTACCTTTTTCTTTCTCACAAAGAATATAGAAGTCTCAATTATTATTATGTGTCAATCCATGAACTAAAAGTTTTGATAGAAACATTAAAGCAAATGATGTTTGTTTTAATTTTATCTTTTTTTTTTTTTTTTCCAGAAAGCACAATCATGTCAACAGAGACTAGATAGGGAAATTTCCAGCTTTCTCAAGATGATTAAGGAGTGTGACATGGCTAAAGGTAAAAGAACCAAACAAACACAAGGACTACCAAAAAAAAAAAAAAAATCACTTCTTAACGCAACTCATTGTCATAGATATTGACTGTATATTTTAGATAATTTTTGGTTTGCAATTCACAGTTGTATTTCACAAAATTATTCTGAAATTTTAAAAGGGTATTTAGATTTTCTGCTCACTGGGGAGACCTGCTTTATAGGTTGTACATAGATTTATTCTTTTAAGAAAAAGAAAAACAAACTTAAAGTTAACATATTGGGGTTGTAAATTCATTTTAGCTACTTAATGAGAATTCTGCTGTTGAATCCCAGATGACTTGAGTTTTGAAGTCAGACTGCCTTAGATTTAAATCCTTACTCTGCTACTTACTAACTATAACTTTGAGCAGTACATTTACCTTCTCTGAGCCTTGGTGTCCTCATCTGTAAAGTGAAGGAATTGATCTTTTCCCTGGTCTTGGCTTTTCATGATTCCGTGAATGTACATATGAACTTGTGTTTCTAGTCTAATTGATCTATCTTTCAACAGTAACTTTTTATGTTGTCATGCTCCATTAGGTATGAACTACCTAGCGTTATCTATAAATGTTCCAAGAATAAAACTTAAGTATTGAGAAAAAGTTGTTTATTACTTTATAAATTAAAAAATCAGCACATTTGTTAGACTTTAGACTTAGTCATGATATGAATATAAATGACTCCACTAAAATATAATTGAATTAGTTCTCTGTAAATTTATGATTAGCTATCCATTGTAATCATGAGCTAGTTTACCCAAGTGGACTCCTAGGCTGAGGTTATAAGTGCCCAGGGAATGTGAAGAAATGTTAATATTAGTGTAAACTGAGCATCACTATTCTGTGTCTTCCCAGATGTACCTTGGACGTTCTTTTCTTTCAATTCAACACACACTTACTTATATCAGGACAAGAGTTAAGTCATTTTGATTATTAATTGCAGACTAGACTATTGTATTACTTACTCTATTCATCCTCAGTGGACTTGGAGAAAAATAATAGCTTCATTAGGTATAACTCACATTAGATAAAATTCGCTCATTTAAAGTATACAATTCAGTGGTTTTTAGTATATTCACGGAATTCTGGAACCATCACCATCAATGGACTTTTAAAGCACCATCTTCACAAAGAACCTTTTGAAGTAAGAAGAGATACTAACAATGTTTAAAAGATGTTGAAAAGGTCCAGAGAAACATAAAGATTAATTCATTTAACTTGGTTCATCATTATATAGTGTCCTTCCTTAT